AGGATTGATACTTAGTTAGCAACTTCGAATATCAACTTCTGGCTTCCAGCTGAGGAAGTGCGAAGATCTGGGCATTGTGTGCCTGTTTACAAAGCATTATAAAGAGACAGTTCGAGACTGGTACTAGCTAGCAACTTAGAATATTGCCTTCAGACTATTACAAAGTGCAAGGAGCTCGACGGTATTCCTGTCTATGAAGTGTCATAAAGCGACTGTTCTGAATTGATATTCAGTATGATGAAGACTGCTTCCTTCTACAAACAATAATGAACAATGAAATATAATGTGTAAGTGACGGTGTTAGGACAGATTATATTAATTTATTTGCAACCTAACCATGTTATCCTTCAGCATCAGAGTCCAGATTCCCAAAGTCTGCTCATATAAGTACTCTTCACCTTCTCTTAGTTTGTAGAGTTGATTATGCAAAAGTGAATTTTTGAATGTCAATATGTAGATATTTATTCAGGAGTTTAGTTCTAAAGTTAAGATAGTCCGTAAGTTTATTGCGAATTTAATATGCCAGTCTGTCAATGATAGAGAGTACAGTTAACGAATTTTAAACTGTATTATGTAAATGAGCCTGCGTTAATAATTTGTAACTGTACTTGATTTGGATTTCAAATTCTTTGAAAGTAAGATTAAATACTGTGTTTTTCATTTTGATCATTAATTATTGCACCATAAAAATTCCTTCACAACACTTTTACAAGTGGCATAATCATAAATGAAGAGGGAACAGAAATTTTATAAGCCAGAAAAGTATTTAAAGTGCCTACTTGATATTTATAATGATAGGGAAATTAATTTGAGTCATATTAATAATGCTCTGCATCATGAAAAGATGCCACAATAGTAACGATAGCTCATCGAGACCTTGAAATATAGTGGCTGGCAGAAGAACTACATTCTCTTCTCATGAATTTGGCAATTTTTGTGCTAGAGGATATTCTTTTATCTTTAATCACAATAGGATTGCCATCAGCTAAGAGACAAGTAAATTGCTTAAATTCCATAATCATATCAGTCATTTCTAAATTGGCCATAGATTATCCCCCAAACAGGTACAAACAATGTAAATGATGTTCAACAAATTTTCAGAGAAGCATAAATTCATTGCCTTTCAAGCTTTTTTAACACAAAGATAAGGACAAGGTCAAAGAACTAATAAAAGCTTGAATTGTGAACGACTTCACTGAATCTAGAGACCATTAACCTTTAACTGCTGTGAGTGGTCTGAGAGATAGCTGAGGATTTTCTAATCGTCATTCCCACCCCTAAAATCAGAGAATGATTCCTGCCCTTCCTCCTACCTTCCAAAACCTTTCCCACACGGTCACACATCCAGTTTCAAACTTCTAACTTTATTATGGTTTCAATTACCACATCTTTTGCTTTATAAGTGGTCTGGAAGACTGGTCACAGCAGATGCGTACCAGTGTTAGTGGACGATAGGCGTTATTTATCGGATGCTTGTTTTTCGTAAAAGTGATAAATATGGCTTCATATTTTACAAGAAAACATTCCATATATATATATATATATATATCACTCAAAAAGAAATTGAATATTTTGTCAATATTTTTTGATGCAGAATACTCTGATTCAAAAGAATCATCTAGTATTCACGGCGAAAGCAAAATCTGAGCTTTCAACAGATGAATATGATAATTTTTCTAATGACTTTGAACAAAATGATAACTTTTATTGAAAAAAATCACTTCAAATGGTGCAAGAAAGAGCCAAATTGGGTATTACAAACATCAAAGCATAACATAATTATTCAGCTCCCTGGGTCTGAAACATACTGCAAAAATAGGCTCTAGAGCAGTGCCTGAAGTTACTTGGAATTTATGTCCATACATATTGTTCCAGTGATATCCTGATGCTACAATGGAATTTATGTTCATACATATTGTTTCAGTGATGTCCTGATGCTAGAATGGAATTTATGTTCCTAAATATTGTTCCAGTGATATCCTGATGCTACAAAATTGAAAAGAAAAAATTTTATGCCTTTATTAGCTAATCAACTTATTAAACTGTATCTGAAAGCTAAATAACTGTCGCTTTTTTCCATGGGAACTGAAGATAACAATTAAAATAATCTTTGGACAGAATGAAATTAAGAGAATGTCTTCATCTGGAAGAATTCATCTGGATTTATCTGTGTATTTACTTCTGGACATCGAGAAAAGTTTGCCTTAATTCTATGAAATAAGTTATACAAAATGAGATTCCACAATATGTAATGACAGCAAGAAAGTTTATACTTTAAAACCACTTTATTAAAAATCTTTTGGTATGTCCTCTCCTCTCCCAAAAAAGTATATTTAGCAATAAATCAATATAACTCTCCAGAGTTACCTCATTTTCTTAGAACCCTTCCTACTCAAATTTCTAGTTCCTGCACCATAACAATGATTAAGCAGTTGAGTTCTCTGCTGTTTTATTCCCCTGGAAACACTATCCCCAATAGCTTGAGGGCTTGTCCATCTATAATCCTTAGATTTTACAATGGACATTTTTAATCTGCGTCTAGTTTAGGACCCTGAAAGCAATCATAATGAATCAGAAAAAAGCTATAATTTCTTGTCTCTTTTACAGAAATCAACCTGCTGAGAAAAATCAAAAAGTACAGTAAACATTCTTGTGCATTACACGGTTGAAGACTATAACCGGAATAAAAAACATTTTCCCACTACAACAAAAAGCTGAAAAAATTGCATCTGAAGTAGAAATACCTTCAAGTATTTTTGTAACCTTAATGAAGAATATAGAAATTGTTAACAGAAACTAAGATTAAGCATGACAAAAAAAAAAAAAAAAAAAAAAAAAAAAAACAAAAAAAAAAAAAAAAAAAAAAAAAAAAAAAAAAAAATAAAATAAATAAATAAATAAAATAAAAAATTGCAATGCTCAGAGGTAAAGGAATATATGCAGAGGTAAATTAGATAATGACACAGTCATAAAGTTCAATATAGTTGACCAGTGATATGGCAGAAAACTGTGGACTTCACTAAGGAACCTATTTACAAAAGCAATGAATTTAAACCTAACTAATGAATGGCCACAACCTTTAAAAATAGAAGATCTTGAAATTCATTTGAAGATTTCTTGAATGCAAACACTCATTGTGATTTGCGAAACTTCAACAAATGCAAAATTTACACCAGATATAAAATCTCTTATCAGATATTAATAAAAGAAATGTTAATACAATATGAACATTTATTTTTTGTAAGCAATCATCCTGAAATATGAAAATATTTCTAATAGGAAACTGTGCTATAATAAACCAATTAATCTTTAGTATTAAAGCTGTCATTAAAAAAAAAAAAATCCGGTACTCTTGCTAAGCCTGGAAGCAAAATAATTTCACGATAATTAGAAATAATGTATGTGATAAATTCCAAATAGAGTTAATATAAAGCCTCTGTTCCTTGTAAATTTACAGCTTCTTCTACAGAAGACAAAAGATCTCAAATTCCCATGTTGAAAACAGTAAAGTTTTACATTAAGAAATTATTGCTAAAAGTTTTCAATGAATTTACAATACAAATAATTTGTTTATATTTTTAAAGAATTACTAAGAAACTTTTAGTTTATTGCTAATATCTGTATTTATGAGTTTATATATCATACATATATGGCAAACTATCTTCAGTTGTTTGACACGCAAGCACAGATATTTCTGAGTTATAAAAAAGTATCATTCAAAACAAATGTGACAAACTGAATATTGTAACTTAATAATTTAAATGCCTCATAATAATTTCTCTCTTAGCTTCAGGAATAAGTTAAGTTGAAATTCTGACATAAGGTTTTACATATTTACAGCAGAATATAATTGATTAAATATTTTTGTTTTTAAAAGTAATACTTTTAAAAATCTCTCAACTTACCAGAGTGAATAAGTAATACTTGTGCTTTTGTTATAAATAAAATAGTTCTATAAAGAAAACAAAATTTAGATTCAGTGATAAAAAGTATGGCATCCTTTAAAGTGAAATCATGTGGGAAACTGTCCCCTCAGTTACAGAAATGAAATTTCTTTTGTCTGTGTAAAGAGTTCAAGGAATGGCACTCTGATGTGCATGCAACTTCTACAATAATGTTAGAGATATATTACGAGAATAGCAGGTACCCAGTGATTCTAATCCAAACCAAATAATGCCTTGCAATGTTTTGTAGACAATAACATCTGAACGCATATACAAAGACTGCATTGGTCTTAATAATGCCATTTTGCAATTATGCTCAAGTAAGCAATTATCTTCTGTGATATGAGTAAAAAATATGTAAATTTGCATGATTATGCTCAAGTAAGCAATTATTTCTTGTGATGCTAGTAAAAAATATGTAAATTAATAATCATTTGATTAGAAACCTCTACTGTAAGTCCCCAATACTCGGCAAAAGTTGATACAATAGTTTCAGAAGCTAATGTGAGACAGAATCATAGTTGAATACTAGCATTATGTTTTCCTCCAGATTGGCATTAATTCCACATACTGGTCTTGCATTGAAGCCTTCATGCTATGAACAACTAAAGAGTTGACATTTGGTCACCATGACATGTAATTTTGAAATACATCAAGCTGAACAATAGTGAGGGTCTGTTTAGCTAATGTAATGAATACTAACGAGTTGGCTATTTTTAATAATTTAGTTATACTTAGCACTAAAAATAATGATTTATTCAAAAACATTTGTTTTTGTCCAGTATTCTGATTATGCAAACTGGGGGGGGGGAACTAAACATATTTTTTATATTGTGAATTGATGCAATATTCCTATGCTGGCTAAATGAGACCAAGATGATGACTGCTTTATTTTCAGGCAAATTATTAGGAATTTTCTTGTTATTCCTTAATACTAGCATATATTTTAAGGAATTATGTAAAATAATACACTTTTTACAGTATTATTATTACACTAACAGAATTTAAAATGCCACTGTGAACACAATAACAACATCAAAAAATAAAATAAAAAACTTGTACCAGAGCTCAATTTTATTAGTAGTAGTTTCATAGCACATTATTCAATCTAAGACAGCAGTTCTGTTAGAAAATGTTGGCATAATCTTGTAACAAAAGAAACATTCTATTGTACTGTATTCTAAGTCTATGAAGTAATTTGCTAACTTTGTTTTCTAGCTCTCTATCATTTTACAATAACTTGACTTCTTTTTGCACACTCCCATTTTTAACTACGAAGCTATCTTGGCATCACACTGAAATAAAGAGGAATTTCAATGTCATGTAATTGCTAAACAATAATGAAAAAAAAAAAAAAAAAAAAAAAAAAAATAAATATTTATTCTTTTAAAAATAGTATGTCTTTAACAGCTCCAGAAAGAAGACACAATTCATAGTTGTTTCATAATCTAAATATAAGTATGTTCACCAGTTATTTGATTGATTAATTAATCTGATTGCATTTTATTTGATCTGAAGAAACAAAAACACAATTTTCTTACACTAATTTAAATGCCATTGAAGAAGTCAAGGGTTATCCATAGAATAACTGATACTGGCAGCAAATTTAAGAAAAATCAGCCCCCCTTGTATTATTTATCATAAAATTAACAAACACTTAATAGCATTACCTAATCAGTTATTACAAACAAAATATTACAGCTTTAACTCTTTTGTTAAAATGTTTTACAAAATTTGATAATTCAAAGGAAAATATAAATAATAATGTAATATTACACATTTTATTAACAAACTAATTTGTTTAGTAATATAATAAAAGTCTGAAAATGAAAATGTCAGAAATTCAGCCCAGCTAAAGAATCTTCCCCGCTCCAGAACTCATAAATTTAGATTAAATTTAATTTACTGGGTTTTGAATGCCTAATTTTATTGCTAAGATAAGCATTTAAAAAAAGCAACAGAAACTGAGGAAATGAAAAATGTGGGCATGCTCATGTTTTATGAATACATTTAGTTCTAAATTTATTTCATTTTTTAAATCACATTCCCTGCCTTTAATACATAAAGCATATTTCATTTCCTAATGAATGACTATCAAAATTTATAATGCCAATTTTTATTTTATTTTAAACCTGAATTTTAAAGCATTGCATGTAATGAACTGAAAAATTTGGAAATCAACACAGTTCCACAAGAATGAAAATTTTCAGACTTTTATTAGATTATTAATCTACTTAAAAAATAATACATTTGAGATTTAAAATGTTTCATACAAATTACCCAAAAAAGGAGTGCATTTTAACTCCAGGCACTGTGTCAGCCCCTTATCTCTTGATTACACTGTAAACCAGTTATTAATAAATTAAATTTCAATATGTATATTGGTTAACTCCACAAATGCCTATCACATGCAAAAGTGTAACAAAATAATGCAACACTTCTGCTTTAAAAAATGTCATTTGTTCAATCAATTTCGTCAAAAAATATTGATTTACTTTTTAAACGTCCCGTTGTTTGTTCACCCATTATATAAACTTTTAAAAGTCTGTTACATTTCAGTAAAATGATGCATATTTGTTCAATAATTATATAACTATTTTTACTTGAAATTAAATAATGTATAAAAATTGTGAAAAGTATGAATGAAACTGAGAATTAAAACAAACATACACATGACGTTATTTTTATACAGCTTCGTATTAAATAAAATTAAAACACTCTAGTTTATTAGCTTTATAAATTCATTTACTTTGGCTCTGTAATTATTTTTAACTTCAAAGCTTACTCAAACATTTATATATCAATATTCAAGTTTTAAACACTTTTAACTGTTTATTTCTATGCATCTTTCTGATGTTAGTCATGGAATTAAAAACAAAAAGAAATTATGATATTTATTTTTCAACTTGAAATAATTCATAAATATATTTATTTTTGAAACAGCATTTTATTTAAAAAAGACATCATAAGTCAGAATAATAAGTGAAAAGAATGCTTTAATGTTTTCTGATACATAATTATACATAGTTATGTTTCATATTTTGGGGAGAGGACTGGCTTTGATTCTTTTATGACATGTTGGCAGATGTGGGATTAATGACAGTCATCTGACACTTTTGAACTTTTCTTATTTTTATTAAAATTACAGTAATACACTACTTAAGTATATGCTTTTGAAAACTTTTGCTGGTTACATAAAACTGCTTACCTTGAGAGTGTGGAACATAATGGCCACTGCTAATGGCTGCTGTCTGGGTATGTACCATAGCAGCAGATGTTGGTATCATAGCCATAGGGGCATGAGGCAAAACATGAGTTGGAGTTCCCACATGACTACCAGGAGTCTGACCATGCAGATGATGATTTTGCAATGATGATGCAAACGTAGCAGGGTGAGGTGCATGTGGCTGCTGTGGAAGCAGTACAATCGGTTGAGGTGTTCCTGCATATGAGGCAGCAAAAGGATGACCCTGATTTGATGATGAATGATTCGCATGCAAAGGATGTTGGGTAGTCATATGACCATGCGTATACATCACTGGTTGGGGAGTTGGAGCATTACTAGGATGACCAGTTGGAGTTGGTGGCTGTCCATGCCCACTTGAAGGTGGTGGTTGATGAACAGGAGATGGAGCAGGGTGGAGATTTGGAGTTTGTGATTGAGGTGTAGATGGAGCAGAATGCTGTCCACTATTAGCAGATGCCATAGCATGCTGAATACCTGGAGTTCCTGGATGAGGCACTGGAAAATAAAATCAGCGTTAGTTTGAAGGAAAATTTAAATTATAACAGTTTGTCATTAACAAAATCTCTACAGTGTACAGATTAACAAGTCTGCTTTAATATAATGAATATGATTACACTGAAGTTCAATTAAAAAAAATATAAGGCCATAAACTGGGATAAACAAAATTCAAGTATGCTGCAGTATTACATATGCAACATGATATGCACACATAAATATATCACCATTAGAGAGCAAAAATTAAAAGGGAGAAAATTAAAGGATGGAAAACTCGTGAAGGTGGTTTTTGATGTGGTTCAAAGAACTGAATTCATACTGCTAACAGAAATCAGATGGGATATGAAAACATAAAAACCTGATGAAGCTATGTCTACAGAATGTGCAGGGTTTGGTAGGAATCCCACATTCCTGATACATTTGTAATGGAATATGAGGTATAACTGCCTGTTAAAACAAAATGTCTCTCTTATTACTAAAATAAAATGCATTTTGTTGGTTACTGCAGGGGGGGGAGGGTAACCCAATCGTACCAGCCAGAACTGAAACGTCAATCAAACAAATGGCGTCGTCATGGGTCATCACGATGTTCGAAATTTCGTCAGAACCCCAGCAATGTGAAAGTTATGGTGATTATCATGTTCAACTGTGATGGTGTCATTCTAACACATACCGTTCCCCCACAGCAGACCGTCACTGCGCAGTATTACTGCTCATTTTTGGATCACAATCTCCGACCAGCTTTGAGAAAAAAACGGCGACACTTTCTGCAGAACGCTCCTCTCATTTTGCGTGACAATGCTTGGCCGCATGCAGCGCAAGCTGTGACTGATTTGTTCAAGCGATGGGGCTGGGAAGTGCTTTACCATCCACCATACTCCCCAGATCTAAGCCCATGTGACTATGGCTTAATTCCTAAGGTGAAGGAACCACTTCGTGGCACTTGCTTCCAAACTGTTCCTGAGATTCTTGCGGCAGTAAACCGGTCCATTCAAACTATTAACAAAACAGGTGCTGCTACAGGTATTCTGCGACTTCCACATCGTTGGAAACGGGTTGTACACAATGCTGGCGACTATATTGAAGGACTGTAAAACATGGTGACATGAATCACTTTTGTATTCCTTGTAAATAAATAGTTGCCACTATTAAAGTTCCAACCCTCGTATATGAAAATTAAAAAGATTTTTTAATTAATAATATAATTTGCTTTGCTAAGAGTGTTTCTAAACTGCTTTATAATTATACTTTGTTTTTAGTTCAAATAAAAGTTGTTAAAATGTCAAAACGAACTTATATAGACAGTAGAAAAAAAAATTTTATTTAAATATATTTAATATAACATTGTTTTAATGAAATTTATCAATGTTATGATGTTTTAAAAAAATGACTAAAAAATTCTCAGATCTGGAATTAAAAATTTTCTATAGAAACTGATCTTAAAATCGTCAAAATGTTGACAAATTTAGAACCGTTTAATAAAAGAATTCACATCCCCAAATTGAAAAGTTGTTTAAGAGCTCTATATTAGAAAAAATTTATTTTCGAAATGCTTATGTTCCACTTCTTGCTTAGAAACTTGAGTATCCCAACATTTATATTAAAAATAGAAACAAATTCTAACCATAGATGTGAGTGAATCACCAAAAATATTCCTCCAAAATGCTAATTCACACTCAAAATGGTAGTCGTAAAAACAGACAGAAATTTCAGATGATTAAAATTAAGGACCTTCTGCTGATTTTGACCAAAATTAAGGACTTTTAAAAACAAAAATAGATTCCAAAAATAATCTAAGAACTCTTAAGGACCGTAAGAACCCTGATTTCTGTATTTACTTAAATAATATTTTATCTGTACTGTATTTATTTTTTAAGATGTTTACAACACCAATTTTCAAGCTTACCACAACTCACGCATTCTCTATGCACCATGAATTAAAAAAATCCAGACGAGAATAATATATTGATTATTCACAAGAGCTGCATTTTCCTTCAAAATTTTAATAATTAGCAATGCTATATTAATTCACATCAAAATTCTTTCAATAAAATAAAGTGTTCAGTTATAACTAACAAAACGTATTTATTTATATATACATAATTCTAAAGCATGATAAAGAGCTGCTAAGCCACCTCCCCCCCCAAAAGAGCTTAAAGGCCCGTCGTTTCCACTACTGCATACGAACGCGTTACGTCAGTTGAAGATACGCCTACGGCATCCGTACAAGCGTATTGTCGCGTGTCCGTAGATTATTTTCATTTTATGCCGCTAAGTGTCACTGTAATATTTTGGCGCCAATCAACCAGTTCACCGAATTACGACGCTGAACATTTGAATTTTTCCAGTTTAAGTGAGTATTGTTTATTTTGGATTTGATATAGATCCTGACGTAAGACGCAGAAAAGTTTTGTTTCTTTTACTCTAAAAAAAATGGGGCGGTAAAGAAAGGAAATTCCATGTTATTGGATATTTTTACTTCTGCTTATGAACTGCGTAAATAAAGTACACGAGCATTTTTTAGATAAGTAAGGTTATTATGTATATTATGAACATCACTAATAGCATAAAAGCTGAAGTAAATTAAAAAAATTTCTTTGCGTTTCTAGAAACCTTAAATATTAATCAAATAATATATATATTATTAAAACTAAAATGTAATATTACTGAAAAAATAAACAAATAAATAAAATAAAAAAGTTAAATGAATTAAAAAATAGTTGGTACTTTAAAAATACACAGCAACTGTAAAGAAAGGTTCACAATATTTACATAAAATTTGCTATGCTTGTATACCACTGACTGCCAAGTGAGATTGTATATTTTTAAAATATGCCCAAATTTGGGGAGAAAGCAGGTAATATATAAAATTTTAGCATCAATTTCTTCATTTTTAATTTCTTCAGGGTCATAGCCGGATAATTTACTAGAAATCTTGTTTGTTTTAAAATGCACTATGCTTTATGCATAATTCATAAAATATTTTAAATTTAAAAATTTTTAATTCATATCTCTTTTTATAGAAGAAGTTATAAAAAGAAGCTTTTTCTCTTTATATATATATACACACACATTAGGTAAAGAAAGTGGAAATATTTAATTCCTGCACTTCTGCTGGAGAGGACTGAATTTAAAAGCAATTATTAATTTCAAAAAAAAAAAAAGTTTAAGGCATCAATACTGTCTCATGCTAATTGTAGAGCTGGAAACATCCAAAAGTCTGAGCACAGGAATGTACATTCACATAAAAGTGAAACAAAATATATATATATACAGGGTATGCTTTGAATTCGTATTATATAATTTTCAAAATTTTTGCAGGGAAAATTTAAATAAATAGGAGCATAAATAAAACATTATATTTAATGCATATAAATAAATTATAAAAAACGAATATAGGTCAAATTGGAACAAGAAGCTAAGAAAGTTGCAGACAGGGTGGAAGCGTATGGGATTCGAACAAACGCCCCCAAAAGTTAAACGTTGTCACCATCAGCTTTACCACTAAGCTAGCATCACACGTGGATGGTATGCATATTTTGGCTTATATACATCATTCAGTAAATCAGTTCTTAAAACTAAATTTTTTGGTTCTATTTCAGTGTGCTATCGTCTAAAAAATTCAACAGAGTTTGTTCCTCAGCTTCTAGTACATTTCTTACAAAAAACATTATCTTTTAAAGTAGCATTTCGATTGAAGTTAAATGGGCTGCTAAAAATATATTCTATGCGCTTACAAATTATATATTAGCCAAAAAAGTATATTTACAAATAGAGAAATACAAATTTAACATACACTTTAATGCAGAAGAATATTTAAAAGGCTATCAAATTTAATTTATAATTAACGTTTTTAGTTTTTACCCGTTTCAAAAGAAAAAAATAACAAATCTTTTAATACGATATCTGATTTGCTATAGCAGTTTGATATAGTAGGATGTTCATTTTCATTAAAGGTAAATGTGTAGGCAGAACTAGGAAATAATTGTCAGGACAAATCTTGCTATTTCATGGATAGAATTATAAATTTTGCGCTGATTTTCTTGAACTGAATTTCTTGAATGCCTGATGATATCTGCGAACAAGTACTGTAATTGCAGTTATCTTATTTTTCTTATCTTTTTTAACTAAATTCTGCTGATTGCTGTCTTTTTTAGCACGCAGATTCCTCGCTATAATGTTAATTCAGAAATAAGTATTTTTTATCAAAACATTCTTTCCCTAAGCAAGCGTTCATTGCAACTTCTGCCGCCATTAATTTTTGGCGACAACACCTGACTGCTCCTTTTTTACCACGTGACCCCAATGCATCCGCAGACATACGGATAGAAGGTGAACATTGTTGAACTCCCTCCGTGCATCATCCGTCACCTCACATCGACTGGATTGCAGATGTCAATCAAAGTGAATTCGCTCGCTGATTGGAGAAACACATAGACACTGCAACGCATACACAGCAGTGGAAACGGGCCTTATGAGTTCAATCCATACACTTGACCTGCATTTTAATCACTCTCCCACTTGTAACAGATGGCACATGAAGCAACAGCAGAAAGTGAGCTAATATCGGGACCACCACATCTTGACAACAAAAGAAGATCATCTTTAGCTTTCCATTCGTCCACGGACTAAATTCTAACAATATATCACTATGCACAATCCATAAAATACTAATCACTTCAGTTAATTCCCATTTCTATTTAAGCTGATATGGAATTTCTAGCCGACATTTCAAAAAATGAAACATTTTCAAATATTTCATGACAGATACCAAAATAGTTTTTATTCATATACTAGCAATGACAATTATGAATAGTTTATAAATATATTCAATCTCTTCCCCCCCTGGTGAATTACAACCAGGAGCAACACTGCCAACATTTCTACCCATTGTTTCCATCACCAGCTCGCCAACTTGTTTCCTGTAATTTTCATCTTGTGTTTTGATAACAATATTGCTTTTGCATTAAAATTTTAATTTTATGTGGTACTTTGCACTTATTTCTTATTACCGCCAATAGCTCTGGAGCAAATCCAACGATAAGTCAAGCTCATCCTAGCTGTATGTACTAAGCACCCACCAAGGATTCATGATTGAATTACAACCACTTTGTTGCAGATAAACACTTTCAGCCGGTCAAGAGTTTGGATTGAGAAAAAAAAAAAAAAAAAAGAAACAACAACTGGATATACTGTTGCATCCAAACATTATTGGTTCCACAAGTAGAAAAGGCAGAATGAAGCTATTTGATTGCAAACAGCAACAGAAGATTTATTTTTCATGTTTTAACAACTACAATCATTTCTGTTCTTGTACATGAATATTTTTTAATGGCTACATAACTGGAAAACATTTTTCTAAATGAAATTGCAGTGTAACCAGAGACATTTAATGGCAGCTTCTGCTCAAGTAAAAAGGCATTAAAAACTTTGGTCCCGAAGAAAACTATTAATACAATTTACATAGTTTAGGGATTTTTCTTTATGCACGTTTCAGTACATTAGCTCTTTCCTCACCCGAAATCGATAAATTCTAATGATAATCAATTGTGAATGTATTACTTTTTCCTGATGAAATAATAAAAGAAGTCACCTAATATAATTTTGAAAAATGCAATGGCGTTTTACTTTTATTTTACAAGCACTGTTAAGAGGAAAGATTGTAGACCTTCAAGAATATATTAAAGCACATAAAATTTGCACTGCCTCCAATGCAATTATGTTCTTGAGTTTTTGTGCATGCACAAATAAGAACACTGGCCTTTTTCACTGAACAAAACTGAAAAATCACAATAACAAATCATAAACATTGCAAAAGTATTATTTCCTCTATGCAACAATACTCAGAATATCATCCATCTGTGATTTCTGAAAAATCCGTGAGCATTTTACTTAATTTATTTAGTTATAAACTTAATGAAAAATCACAGACCTTTATAAATATCTTAATACTGGGAGCACTTAAAGTGTCCTCACGATAAAAATGTGCTGACATATACAACACAATGAGTTGAATAATCATTAACAATTTACTTTTAATACTACACTTTAAAAAAGATTAAAACACAGTAAATATGCTGTACAGATATCTTTCTTAATGCACTACATATTTTCAAACTTAATAGTGTAATCAATGGCCTTAAAAAAGTCTTTATTTTTTAATTTACTTTTGTATAATCATATGATAAACTAAAAAAATATTAGCACATAAAAAAGTTGAAATTTTACCAAAAGATTACAAAATGAATATCATTCTTCAACTATAAATGTTATATTATCTTGATTATAATCTGATTTATAAATATCTGATTAAAATCTGATTATATAAATACTTAAATATATAGATAATTTAATTCAGTGACTTCACTGCTATCTTTATTCTATTCTAAAAGTTTTGCACATCAAACTTTCCTAAGGGGTTAACTTTTTAAGTAAATACCCAAGAACAGTATGAAGAACTTTTTTGCTACAATGTCAAATTAATTCTGCTTTTATTTTTCTGCTGGTGAATAAAAAATAAATAAACAAACAAGTGTTTTCCCTTAATTATTACAGATTAAAGTAAATAAAAACTATTCTACAATTTAGACTTTACAATAATTATTTTTCTTAATGAATTTTTTTTTCTTTGCATATTATTTCTGAGATATCAAACCAAAAATCATAGAATAAATGAAGCATATATTGTAAGTGAAGAAGATGCATGATTTTAATTCAAAAATTTCTTACAGCTTTCTAACAAAGGTAAAAAGTAACAGTTTCAATATTTAAATACAAATGTACATTTACAAGCAGGTCAAAGGCACCCATAAATACTAAATAAGGTACAACTCTGATAAACGCCCTAATTTCACCAAATGTGGCGATATGTGTTTTGCGCTGGTTTTTGGCACGATTGCATGTTGTATGGCAACCATGTCGACATTGAAAAATCTTTTGGTGGAGTAGTTTAATAGCTAGTTGGCAAGGTTGGTTCGTGTCGCGTGTGATTTTGAAATGGCCTATGTTGCGATGAAAGACGTGGTGGGAAGGTTTCAGCCGCGTATTTTAGATTGTGTGCAGAGTAAATTTAGTATGAAAAGGTACGATGTTGGAGTTGTTAACGAGTATTTGTTCACGGATGTATCTGGGGATCGTAGTGTATTTTTTGGAATTTCTGTGGGAGTCAGGACTTTTAAAACGGTGTGACGTGTCCAAAAATGCGGAGCTGATATGAGAACTCGGACGAAAAATGGGTTTCTGATACTTGTGTGGGTTTGCAGTAAAATGTTGCTAATAAAGTATGTGGTGTCAGCGGAGTTTAAAGGTTTGGATCTTGGTTTTCGTGTACAAGTTAACGTTGGAGGAAGTTTTTATTGTTACTACTTTCGAAATTTTGAATCGTAGGAAGGCATGTGATATAGCAAAATCGTGGAAGTTTTCTTCACAGACGCTGTGTGACTGGCGAAATTTTATTACGATGTATTTTGGACTTTGTATGCTCTGTATCTGAGAAGATAGGGCGGAAAGATATTTCTGCTTTAAAAGAAGCTTTCATTATGGTAAGTGCTTTTTATTTTTGTTTTATTAGAATTTTTTCATTGTTTTTTGTTATTCCGTTTTTTGTTTTTAATTGTCTTAGTTTATTTGGTTAATATGTACACAATTTGCCTAGATTGTGGAATTCGTACATTTTTAAGTTTAAACAGAACGCTGTGTACATGGTATTCTTTGAAATTTATTGCTATGTTAATTTATTAAAGCAAGGTGTTCGTAGCTTCCTTCGCTGCCGAGATTGTGCAATTCGCAGATGTTTTCTAAAGTTGAAAGATATCGATGTGTACATGGATTCTTGTCAAATATTTTTGGTTAGAAACTTTCATTTTGCTATTAATTTTTGTTTTGTTTCGGATTTTAGCTTAATAGGTGTTCAAAACGTATTTTTGCATGTGCGAAAAAACGCGTTTTTGGACATTTAGGCTTAAAGTTGAAATGTAGACAAAAAATTAGATAGTAATATGGCCGTGTAAAGTTTCTCGCCAAAAATGTTTGGCGAGAAATTTGGCGACTTGAAGGCGCATATCAGAGTAGTTCCCTAAATAATATTTCTGAAGTAATACAAGCAATTGTACTATTCTGTAACTTCCTAAGCAGTGAAATGTTTTAATCTCAAACATTTTTTATAAGAAATTGATGCACAGTCTTTAGGCAGAAAAGAAATGCTTAACTGGTTAATCATGGCAAGACACTAGAATGCTATGGAGGTCAAAAGTCACAGTGCGCAAAGAAAAATTAACTTACATTTATATTTGAAATAAACTTAAAAGGTTTAAGTTATGACATGCTGTTAGTTTGGGGCCATTGACCAGACTAATAGAACAGATATCAAACAAGATTTATTAATAATCTATAGTCAAAGATAGGAACTGCTTAAAAAGATCTGATTTACTCTGATTACTTATTTCTACAAACAAAATATGTAAAATTCCAGACTTAGAACATGGAGAACTACAATATGGAGTTCTAATTTACTTAGAACTCCATATTGTAGAAAAAAGAAATGTGTCAGTTGTTAAAAAAACAGCGAGTTCATAATCAAGATTTATTCTTGTAAAGTTAACTACAATAAATCACATTTCTCAGTCTAAAGGTATGATGACTTCCTTTAAAGCAAAACTGGCTTACTCTTATATTACATATTGGAAAAATTATAGAAAATACCCATGCAAACATCCTACTCTGTCAGAACAAAGATGAAATTCCACATGCTCTAACAATTCATCGATACAGCCATTTGAAAGCATAAAGCTAAAGTTCAATTTGAATTCATTAACTATAAAAAGAGAAAACAGCACAATTTCACAGTTTGCTAATATTACAGTATTTTAACATAAATTACAAACTATTTTAAGAATACTCACTGTACACGTGAGTTGGAATCTGGGGGCTCTCTCCATATGCAGCAGATGTTGGAACCATACCAACAGTCTGAGGTGTCAGAACTCGAGGCATTAAAGAATACATCTAAGAGATGAAATATTTATGCAAGTTTGATATGTATGAATAATTTACATCAGAAAAAATGCATTACATTCATAACATGATGAAATATTTAGCAGTAACCATGAACTGTTCAAACAATATTTAAATATGAGTATCATAACATTAATATTTTATATGTACATGACCAAAGTGTCAATGATCAAAATTACTAATTCAAACAACATACTGCTTTAACCAGATAGGAAATTATTGGTAAATATTTCTGTAACACAGCAGTGCATACAGCAGTCAAATACAAATTATGTTTACATAAAATATTGCAGTTTATCTGAAAATGTATCCATTTTTTTTTTTTTTTTTTTCATAAATTAGCCGAAATTTTAAAATGGAACTTGAATACGCCACTTCAGTTTTGATTCCACTCCACTGCTAATCTATTCTACCAAGAAATGACATTCATGTTCATCACAACCTTATATGTGACTTTACTATGCAAACCATGATATTTATTTAAATTAACCATTTATTTTATGTTCAGAAACTGTACTGTCATCTCTCCCTTTCCTGCCAGAATGCAAATTTTACTCTGTGCATGTTTAAATGAGGTAGAAAGAGATATTTAAATGGAGGTTTTAGTTTGCTTAGTCAGAGTGTGTGTTCTGACTGCAGAAGGCTACATTACTAATTGAAATTCCATGATAGCATTCTGTCTATGGCGTTGCTTTAACCTTGCTAATAGTGCTGCCAATTCAGTGTAGGTTGGAGTCAATTTGCATGTTAATTAATTTTGCATAGCCTTTGGCTAATTTAACAACTTTTAAATTTGAATATCTTACTTTTGAGTATATGCCATGAAAGCTAGCTAGTTTTGTAAGTACCAGGAGTGCTTGAGTTATATCTAGTACAAGAAGCACAGAAAAGCACAATAGCCACCACTGCTTTAAGAGGACAGCCTTTAGTTTGGTATAAATGAATTGGCAAATTTATGTTGGGTGATCCAAGAGTAACACCTACAAAACTGAAATATTTACAAATGCACTTGCCAAAGCATTCCCCCACTATAAAAGAGAGGGCTAAAGCTGGAGGCAAAACTTTTCAGTAAATATCAGTTTAAAGCAGAACCGATATTCATCTTGCAGAAAACACAAATTTTTAATTTGTTGTACAGAAAAAGGTCTGTTGAAGAAATTATACCAGTCATTTTACCTATGTGGCTGCCTCAAGTACAAGATTTCTTTGAATTAAGAAAACCAACAACACTTGAGAATCTGTTTGAGTCTGCTGTGAAATTTTAAACCATGTGTGTGGCAGAAAAGACACATATCACAGGATATGGCCAGAGGTCAAATGGGCAAAGTTTCAGGCCTGCATCTCAATGAAGACCACAATTTGCCAGAATAAGCATTTTGGAAGTAGGCAAAAAGATTCAACCATGAATGGTGGTAGCCAAAATGAAGAGCAAAACAAGGAAAATAATAAGAAAATTTTAAACTACGCAGGGGTACTGAAGATTAGAAGGTACAGTTACTATGGAGGCAAGAATATCCAGCTAAAATTCAATTAAATACTTTAATTGTTAAAATTTTAGTGTTGACAATAGTGCAAGTTTTGCCAAGTAATGTCCCTGCAGATGCACTGTTAGACATTAAGGCTCAGAGCAGTTTCTATTGGAAAAATTTTTCTCCAAGTATTTTAGAAAATATAGATTGTTTGGTGTGGCGGGAGCAAAAGTTAAAACCGTTTAAGACAAGCACTGCATGTATATAGATAAAGTATAATTGCACATTCAGTTAAAATGAATGGCAAAAGATTGTATTCTTTGTGGTGAAACATTTGTGGTCCAAGCATCCATAATTTTGAATATGGATTTCTTAACAGCAGCAGGAGCAAAATTCAATTTTCAGGAATCCACTCTGCAGTTAGATATGAAGAAGATGGAATACAAAAAAGCGCAGTCACTAGTGATTGACCTAAACCATTAAGTGGTGGAAGGAAAAAACACACTGGAGAGTTTGTCAAGACAATTCTCTAAATTATTTAGTGAAAAGGCTGACCACAGATTGTGAGTCACAGCACTCACATCAGAAATGAGGCCCTTGTAAGAGCAAAGCCCTATCGGTACAATAAAGCTAAAGAGCAAATTATAGATTCTCATATTCAAGAGATGTTGTGAAATAAAATTATAGTTCTAATAAGCAGCCCTTGTGCAAACCTAGTGGTTCTATGCTGAAGGAAAAATAATCTCCCATCTACAGATTTTAAAACAGGGTGATTCCTAGATGACTAATGGGAACTCAGCAGAGTGATTTAAAATATCCTGTCTATCCTCTTCCCATAGTTAAAGAAATTATTTGCAAAGTTAAATCTACCAAGACTACTTTAGATTTGACTTCAGGTTGCTTGCAAATTGGTGTAAAGCCAGAAGACGTTCCAAAAACTGATTTATCACAAAGTCTGGTGGTATATGTGTTAAAGTAAAATGCTTGCATATAGTAAGAATTACAGTCTTGTAGTGTGAATAAAATGTTTAAGTTAGCAAACTAAGTTGAATTTAAATTAAAAGCAAATGCTAGCAGTATGTATGAAATTAAAGTTTAGGCTTTCCAGCCAACACAAAAGTTTGATCAACTATTTTGTTAGCATGTTAAATGTCGGTTTGAAATTAAGGCGTTTTAGAGGTCTATTGAGTACAAGTTTCTAACAATGCAGGATGTGGGTTAGATGGTTACACTTATTCAAATGATATTTGCTCACACATCTCAGTACACTGTACTGGAAAGCGGTAGAGAAGAAAATTTGATTTTGGAACAAATGGAAAGAATGAAAGTTCGGATAAAATTCTATTAAAAAGATTTTGATGAAATGTTTCAAATAAGGAAAGGTTCAGAAAAGCTGAACTGAAATGAAACAATGTAATTTGTTAAATTTTTCTCTTAAATTCTTTTTCCTTCCATGTTACTAGAAAGAGAAAAGCAGTTGATTTATAGTGAAAGTAAATTGAAGAATATTTTCTGGTGGAGATCTAGCTCCTTGTCATACAGATTTAAGACAGTTATAACTTACAACTATTTTAAAGTTGGCTCAGGGTTAATTAAAATTTAAGACCTTAACAAGGTCATTAAAGGCCTTCATTGCAATTGCATAAATTCTGGCTAGGAAAGATTATTTTTTAAAATTAACCAGTTATTTTATGTTTAGAAACTGTGTCATTTCTCCCTTTCCATTTCCCTGCCAGAATAAAAATTTTAGCTCATGCATATTTAAATGAGGTAGAAAGTATGAGTATTTAAATGTCTATTTAAAATGAAGTTTCAGTTTACTTAGTCCGAATATGTTCCAACTGCTGAAGGCTATGTTACTAGTTGAAATTCCTTGATAGCATTCTGTCTATGGCATTGCTTTAATCTTGCCAATAGTGGCATCATGCCGGTGTAGGTTTGAGCTAGCTTGTGTGTTATTTCTGCATTGCCTGTGGTTATTTAAGACTTAGATTCAATTTACATTTGAATTCCTTACTTTTGAGTTTATGCCATAAATGCTAGTTGGTTTTGTAAGCACTAGGACCCCTTCTGTTCAACTACTTCAATTCTTAATGAAAGTGTCTTTTACCCTACTTACATGTCTGTATGATTAACCACACATAGCGATAAGCAGCTTATGTCTATTCAATAGTCTTGACTTTATGTATGCTACCCTCAAAGAGTGAGATTCTACAAGTTTATTCATAGCCATGATATGATCAATAATAAAAATTAAATTTTGTGGAAGTTCTATTAAAAACCAAAATAGAGTTATCAGTTCTTTTACATAATTACTAAAGGCATTTATTTACTAAATAAATTAAAGCCTTATTAAACTCCTTCAAAAGTAAACAAATCTTGGTCAAGAGCAACCAGCATGAGAATATTCAGAAATAATAAAGAAAATGTCAGCCTTAGTCATGGAAAATCAATATTTAATGATTCTGCAGCTTTATAGCTGTATTTTCGACTGAAGATTAGGCTCAGCATTATGTTGTAGCAAATTTATAAAAATGCCAGCTGTAAAATCTATCTAGTTATTAGTGGGAGCATGCTGATTGCAATACTCAAAATCCAAACTTCATAAAGAAGATAACTTGCACTGAGCCTCAGAACAAAATTGAAGCCATCAAAACAGAAACTATTCATGTTCTAAAAAGAAATAAGGTGCAATGGACTTTGGGGCAATGTAAAAAATATCACATAAGAACATTTTCCGATTCATTACACACAGTAGACAGCAGTGTTCTCAAATTGCATGCATGTTAAATGAACAATCTAAAAGCAGCTGACGGGTCACTTTTTTTTTTGGGGCGGGAGGGATAACCAAAATGAAAAGTTTTTAAATATACTTTTTAATTAAATTTTATTTATTAATTATATATCAAAATATATATAAACAGTAATAATTATGATGATAAGGAAAAATATTCCAATTTATTATTTTAGGTCTGAAAATCAAAATATATGTAAACTAATAATAATGATGCAAAGGAAGAATTTGAATTTATATTTATTTTCCATCTGAAATCTAGAGGTTAGTAACTAGAAGTAATTCTCGTTGGTTACATTTTGAAATTCAAACATATTGATGCTAAAAATTAAATTTTCAGATGATCATTTATTTTAAATAATTCTAATATGTTGAATTAGCCATTAAAGAACTTAATGTAAACAAATTACAAAAGCTTTCCAAGTGGAACCAAACTTGAAAATAAATAATGACAACCTATCATCTTTCTTTTATTTATTTTCCTTTTCGGCATAAATAAAAAATACACATATTTGCACATAAATAATAAAATTCATTATTTTTATTATGACTTTTAGTTTCAACACTTCATGGCATTTTGATTTTGATAAAGCTTGTTGGAGAAAAATTAGAAACTATCACGAATTTTACATGCTCATTCAGTCAGTCTGATACTTTTTTTTTTTTTTTTTCTTTTTGATTTATTAATTTTAAACTGAGGCAAACAAAAAAAAAAAAAAAAACTATTCACATATATGTATATTTCTAAATAAATTGATTTTTCTTATTGCAAAAATGCATAATTAATGGATTTAAAAAAATGGTAAAAAAATATTAATCATACATGCAACTTCAAATCTGAATAAAATTTATACCACAGTTTAAATTAATTAGTTCCATTTGTAGATTTTCTGTGGCATTACTTGCAATCAAAATCATTAAAATCTTAAAGCATTTCTTCAAAATCTTGCTATAACAATTAATGCTATAATAATGCCAATTAACTTATGTGAAATGCATTCATGGGCTGCATTGCTTGCATCGGGGACCACCAAGTTGAGATGACTGCAGTTAAGTAGTTATTTTTTAATTCACTGGGTATCATTGTCAATTATGGAAAGGATAGTTCATTATCACCCAAGACATAGAATTTCAGAGATCCAAGAGTTTGTTTAGTCACATGGCTCATACTTCCTTGCAATTGTTCATTAAAAAGACCTAAATACAGGGCTATTATAAAAATTTAAGAATCCCCTCTCCCACCCCCAAAAAAGTAAATATGACAAGCCCATTTTTATTTATTTTTAAAACTGAATTTAGAGCATATTTTCATCAATAAAAAGGCTCCTTAGAATAAAAGTACACTTCCAAAGTGTCTACTTTGAAGGGTGAATAACTCCAAATTCAGGAATAACACTACTTTTACTTCCAGCTTAGAAACTTTTCAGTTAAACTTTATACAGTGGAAGATTTATAATCTAATTTGGCTAGACATTAAAAAAAGAAATTTTTTTTTTTTTAAAGAAAGATAAGAAGTTATTTATTTTTCAAATAATTTCTGTAACAGATTATATAGTATACAAAACTGCATAAATTCGAATTCTTATAATTAAAAGAATAATATATTATTTAATAGTGCTTCTATTTAATACATTTATAAAGTATTTCTCCTGCCTTCCTAGCTTGCATGGTGGGCACACATGCCAGAGGTATGTGGTTCGATCGACGGCGAGGGCATTTCTCATTTTTCATCTCTCCTGCTTCCAAAAATTACCTAATGTCGCTACACATTCATAAAATAAATGATATACTGCATATGTCAATTCAAACTTTTATCCTGTCTGAAGTATAACTGACAAATAGTTGTTTAAATATTTAATTTAAAATAAAAAAATGTTTTAAATAGATATTTAAATTCCAATGAAAATAAATGAGAGATAAGCATTTAAACATGTCTCAGATAAAGTAAAGGATTTTAAAAAATTGAAAAAAAAATTACATTAGGGAATAGCATTTAAGATTTATATTTTAAAATACAACTTAAGAACATTAAAAACTTCTGAAAAAGTAAAATAAAAAATTTTGCATTATAACTTCTTGTTTATTACGAGTTTCTGATATACATGATAGATATAAATAACCATATGAAGTAACTACCATAATCATTACCTCATTAAGAATTCATTTCAAGCCAGGAAATGTTAATTCAACAGACAATATAAAAATGAACATTCTGACGTACCTGAGCATAAGCAAGCTGCTGAGGAGGACCAGGAGGATGAAGCATGCCAGGGGATGGTGCATACTGAATCGTAAACTGCGGAGCTGAGATGGTCGGCTGTGCCAAAATTGGTTGACCAGTAGCTGCTTGCACATGGACAGGCTGAGACAAATCATGACGTTGGAGAGTCATAGGCATAGCTGTAAAAATTAGGTCTTCATACTGATTAAGTCCCATATCTACACCATATTCTTGATCTTTTAACCAAAGGATTTCAAAAGCAGAAAGAAAATTGGCAAGAATGAAAAGAAAGAAATTAGTAATAAGAACAGAGATGGAATATTTGAACAGAAAAATATATAAATAAAGATAAAAGTTGGAACCAAAATATTAAGTTTTTTTTTAACAAAACTTGATAGAAATAAAGATAATTTAAAATAAAAATTGCTCTCATTATTATTTAAATAAATAACCATGAGATTTATTCACATGCAACATGCATAAACAGAAATCCTTTGTTTCAAATACAGTACAATAATAATGATATAAAATTATAAACATTTTATGCCAAAATAAAAACTAGAGAAATCTCATTACATACCCGCAAAATCTACAGACTCCACAGCCCTGCCTACAAGAGCACTCTTTACAGACACAATGCAAATTTTCTTGTTTTTTAGATTACATAGTATTATTTCAAACTACTGCCCAATGAAAATGTAGTTACTTTATGTATACTTACTTTCTAGTGTAATGATGATATGAAAACAAAAAGTAAGAGTGATGAATGAGTAAATAAGAATGAAGAAATTACTAATGTGAGAGCTCCTTATATATGATGATTGTCATTCAAAATCATCTGTCCATCACAGAGAATAATAGCAAATAATGCAAGTTAAATGATTAGCAGCTGAGTAATTGGAAAAAAAAAAAAAAAAAAAAACCTCTTACCTACCAATTGAAGAAATGGAAATACAAAGACCCCCCCCCCAAAAAAATAGCATTGAACGTTCTAAGAATGAATAAAGAGTTTTCATATTTGATTTCCTTTATTTAAATTGTGGGATTTATGTGAAAGATTCGTATATAAATTTTAAATCGAATTTAGACAAATTAGCAATGCTATTATTCAATGAAAATACTCATATTTTAATATTATACAATGCAAACATTCTTACCTCTATATAACTTTTGAGCTATAAATAGCTTGCTCATTTTTGAGAAAATAACTAGCCTAATCTGTAAATCATTATATAGTACTGCACAAAATTATTTTTTTTTAATCTTAGGGACATTTTAATTAATAAATGCTTTCACATCGACACAGTTTTTTTTACCAATGACTGCATATATAAATAAAACAGAAAAAAGGTTAGGCTAATAATCCATTTTAAAAAATAAGTTTCTAATGACAAAACAACATGGTACATCCTATCATTTTATTGCAGCTTAAAAAATATGAATTTCTGAAAAAGGTCAAGAAGCAACATTGCACCCTAAAAAAATAAGTCATTCAAATACCACACAAAATCCTAAATTAAAAATTAAAACTTTAGGCAAGACCATGTTATGATAAATACACAGTTCTTCCGGTTGATGACACCTGTTGTTCCCTTTTTTGTAAAATGAAGCATCCTCAAAATTATCTCGAATCAAACTGGATTGTTTGATTATTAATTTTGATACTTCATTGGGCTGCTCATTACTTTGTGTGGAAATGGATGATAATATACAAGATACCTGGACCAGTATAAAATTATGCATGGATATTTAACTAATCTCATCCATACAGTAAGTCGAAATATTAATATCCATAGGCACATTTTCTAATGAACTTCATCTTCAGACAAAACAGAATACACTATGATGCTATCTAGGCAGCAAAAGTTGTTCACATGATATACTTCTTGCTGACTCATCAATTTTCAGGCTACAAAATTCAGAATTTTGGGTGAACAAAAAACTTCGAGAAGAGCTCTGAAATAAATTAAACTGGACTACGACTTGTCTGGGGATTCATTAGGTGTTTGTATGTTGTTCAGCCTCACATTTCGTTTTCTTATCTTTTGTCAGAGAAAGGTGATTAAGAGCGAATTCAGGCTACGAATCCAAAACAGTATTTATTGTGATTAGGAAAAGTCAGGCCCTCGAGTGCAGCTCATCTGCAAGTGGAGAGGAAAATGTACAAAGAAAAGGCCTGGTCCTCAATCTGGGCTACATTACCTACCTTTTCCATTTATAGTCTGAGTCACCTATCAATGAGCGGGTCTGCAGTGGCCCACCCTACGGCTGACAGTATTATGAATGAAATGGTAAGTAAATCAGCCAGGGCATTTAACATGTTAATAGCCTTCCTGCACTGCAATAAAAGATGTGATTTATATGATTAAGATGACGTTTTAGAATGAATGGACTGAAAAAAATCATTGATGCTGCAGATCTAGAGAATAATAAAAAACTGCAATGACAGAAATGATACTGAGAATGACGTATCATTTCTGTCAGACAATGCAAAAACTAGTTTTTTTGAGTTTCTTTAATTTTTAGAGCAACACCTTAATGCCTGTCCAATGGATCTCTCCCCCTCTTTTTTTTTTTTTTTTTTTTCAATTTTTATTTTATATAGAAAAGAGGTGTAATTGTGCAAAATGCCATAAATTCACATATGCTTTTACAATTTCTCTGTAATCACTGCATAAAACAAATGCAAAATGAAAAAAGCAATATTCAAGAAAAAATGCAAAGGTGTTTTTATGTTGTTTGTATAAGCATAGTACTAAAGTTAATATTATAAATCTTTCATACCAGAAAAGTTGCGTAAAACAAACTTTCATAAAATGAAGGATACCAAAACACCTTCAACATCACAAAAAGTGCTAAATGTGTACAATTTCTTTGCTAAAAATACTGATATTTTTAAAGAAAATAAATGAATACATTGTACCAACTAATTTAAAAACTATATTGTATTTTTAAAGTACTATAAATTAAACAGTATTTAGTATTGGGGGGGAGGAACTTAATGAACCATAATGATAATTTTTCCAATAAATACATTCTCTGTATGTTAAGCAAAGGAATAAAGAACAACTACCTTTTCTAAACCTTGGAGCTTGAGTAACTGATGCAGCAGGTGTAAATGGTGGAGCCATAGGAACAGAAACTGGAGTTGCAGATACTACATAATGAGGAGCCATATTGAAAACGGTCTGGGCCATGCCAGGCATTATATGCGGCTGAGGCATAGCCATGATTGGGCTTTGGGTGTGGAGACGAGGAGGTGGTTGCACAGCAGGTGGTACAACAGTTTGCATTGGAATTCCTCGCTGGAAATTACATAAAAAACTTACAACCAATAGTACAATGAAGTATACACACAACACACAAGAGCATAGATAGAACAGATGTTAATGTTTAAATTAAAAAATGCTGAAAATTAATATATTTAGAATTTAATACAATATGAACATATGAAAATAAATTCTTGTACAATTACCTCAAAATTAATCAATGTCTTAAATAGTTAGGCACTTTTATGTGAAATATAGCTAGATGGTGGCAACCTAAGGTTACATAAAGCTTTATGAGGGGAAAGAGGAAGAATTGTCAATAACAGTAATGTATCACATAATGTTTTATGTGCAAAATGGTAAAGTAGTGCACAAGAAATTCACACAGCAATATGTTTCTGTTTAAAAAAACAGAAATAAAATAATGCCTCAAATTTGGCAGCATGTGTAATCTTGGAACTGTGCACATTATATGTAGCACAATTATTCATGACAATATAAACAGGCTACCATTTTTGATGACCAGTGGTCTGTTAACAAAAAAGTACCAAAGTTACTTTGGATTTATTGAATGCTACCCCCATTCATTAAAGAATAAAACTTTTTCAATGTTTTGTAATAATTCAACATTTAAATATATTAATAAAAACTTTAGGGAGAATGGTTAATGCTTACAAATTAACGTAAATAATTTCACAGCAGTTTATTAATTATTGAGAGACTGAGTTCCTTAAGTAAAAACTGTATTTCAAGTATCAATTTAACAGCTCTTTAAACAATACTAATACTGTGTACACTCTAGAGATTTTCTGCTTAAAAAAAATCTGATGTGTACACCACATGACTTCCTTGTATTGGAATATTAAATTATACGCATTAAAATCTAAATACGAATTAAATCTACTTCGCCGACAGCGCATAAACCACAATAGAATAAATGCATTCTTAAAATTACTCAATATTGTTTACCATAGCGACACTCGGTGCTAGTTCACTTACAGTATTAATAATTATATAACAGTTAACTTTATATTATAATTTATATAATGGAAAAAGTTTATTGTTATAATTCAATAATTATATACAGTAACGTATAGATTTTGTTCATATTATACTCATATGCACAAACTTTATATCATTTAAAGAATAGATTATCTAATCGTGCCACTGTTCTATTCAATACTAATAAACTAGAATGATGTATAAAAGAAATTAAAAAACAAAACAAAAAGAAACAGTTTTTCACAGACGATTGGTATTTCTCCTTTAATTAATTCAGTTCTCACTTCGCGAGAAGGCAAAATACATAAAAACTCAAAATATCTATTAAAATTACGAAGTAAATCTCAAACACTATTTCCTCGAAAAATTCCAGAGAGAATTAAGCATGATTTATTGGCAATAATAATGAAGCGTTATCTTTGTTGTTGCGAAGCTAAGTTTCTCTATATTGGACAAATCCACTAGTCTCTGTTTCAAATGTAAACATCAATGGCCCCATAAAAAAGGTTAGCGGCAATTAAAAACTTTAAATTGCTGATAATTCTAAAAATATTGCACACAGATTTACTAAGGCATAAAATCTAACCGAAATAAAAACAACACTTTCAATCATTTTAAAGCAAATATGTACAATTTACAAACATATAAGAGTAAAGAAACGAGATCACTGAGGGGGTAACAGAGTGGATATATATATAAATATTTTTTATAGTTTGGTGCGGCCGATTGCAACCAAATACGAGTGCACAACACATGTTTTAGCGTCCTATATACAAAATTTGAATGTTCTGAGGTACTCGTTTTTGAGTTATGCGAGATACGTACGTACGCACGTACATACATACATTCGTACAGGCGCACGAAAAATTCTCTCAGAATCCTTTTAAAGCATTTTTATAATTTTTTGAAGGAAAGAGTATTTTTATTCTGTCCTTACGTACAGAATCACACAAAAACATCTTTAAATTGCATTGATAGCGGTCAAAACGGATATTTTCGTTGAAATATGCTGCCTGAAACTTTCGCGATTACAATCTTCCTTTTTACTTCGTACAAGGAAGTAAAAAGGATAGGACCAATTACACTGTAATTTTAATTCAAATGAAGATTATAATTATACACGAAGAAAGCATGGTTATATTAGATAATTTTTAGTGATAAGGATGATGTATATAAAGTAGTAAATTTTTCATTTATAACTAGTAAGAATGATTTATAACATAATATTAAAAAAATTATGTACAAATGATAAGCATTATATTTCCCTAAATTCTGAAAATGATAATAGTAATACATCTGAAACAATTTTTATTGAATGAAAGTTAAAACCAAATGATTTTTTTTACTAAATACACCATATGCTATGCTTTGTTAATGTTTTGGATAAATTATGTATTAAATGTTCTTTAAATTACATCAATTAAGTACTGAAATTAACAATAAAATTATACCATTAGTTATAAGTGACTACATAATAATTAGTTATTCGTCTAACGCTCCTGCAAAATTGCCAATCATTAGCCACTTACCCTCCCCCCATACTCTAAAAAATGGTGGCACGCTGAAAATATAAAACAGCAGTAAATTAATGAAATTAAAAAATATAACAAACATCCAAAAGAAAAAAGTTTTCTTGGTCTGTGTGCACAGTAACCTGTTTTAATGCCCCCCCCAAAAAAAAAGGATAAGGGGAAAGAAAAGCTTTCAGATTTTATATTACAACGTTTTGTGTGTTACCCTTATTTATTAAATATCACGTTCTTCACACTTAAGCCATAAAATTCAATTCAACAGCAATATCACAAAATAATTTAAAAACAGCACACATTAAAATTTCCAAAACAGTCTCGCACACTGGAGATTAAAATGTCTCCCTCGTACAGTGTTGCCATTGCTCGCTTTGATATAGTTGAGTTTGACAACATGAAACAGATAACACAACGAATTCCAAATTTGGACGTTCGCATGCCCTTATTTGAATGGAGGACTACATTATTCAAAATTTGATGTCTCTAGGTACCGTTGTTTTTCACAGTGCACGAAACATGCACACATTCATGCAGATTCTTCATTATTTAATTTCTTTAAATATAATGCAGGGCTCTAATATTTGGTGGCAACAATTTGAAAAATGCAATGCCGTTTATAGTGAGCCAACGCAAAATGCCAAAACAAAATTAATATACCCTTTGGGCTAGAAAAGAGAGAGATAACTTCATAATTTTTGGCATTCCTCTCCATGTACACACTGACCTATTTTAACTTTAGTAGTTATATTCAGAGACATACCGAAACAATAAGATCTGTAAGAATGACAAAGCTTTCCAGATGCACATTCTTTAAACCAACAATAACTAAAGCAAATAGCTTTCATAAACAATATTTGGCTAGTCTCAAACCCATTTCCTACTTCCATTTGAATACTTTGCTGGAAATCCTTAGTAGCATATTTTCATACAATTTGATTGTTTGCTTCAAGGAATTTCAAAATTGTACCTATTATGTGCTAGCATAATGCATGAAACCATTAGTGAGTTGTCAGATAAAACATGTGTTTTTTATATTCTTGGTTACCAGCTTTGACAACATAGTGTTTTGCCTAGTGATTCTTCTCACCACTGGGGGGATAACATGAAAATACCATAAAATGCTTTCACATATCCTTTTTCTATAATTAAAATACAAAAATAATGTAATTTATTTTTTGTTTTTACAAATCTTTTATATAATAGGCAAACTATAAATTATTAAATTAACTTATTTTTGCATCTAAATGTGCTACTATTACATATATGAAAACATATATCACAATTGTACACATTGTGTTTTCAGTTTCAATGCATATTGTGCTTAGCAATATCAACCTAAATTATAATTTTTGAACAACATTACCCAAATTAATTTTATCCAAATACAAACAAAAAAATAAAAAAATGAATAATAAGATCATGTGCAGCTCAAAAATGAGAATTATAACAATAAAAGCTAAAATAATAAGAAAAGGCAAACATACAGGAGTGAATGATTTTGCATTAGGATTAAATACAAATTCCTTTGCATTTGGATTCAAATTGGAACTTTTGGGGTTATCAGGACTAGCCCGACTTTCTGGCACACTTTCAATTTTTCTTTCTTCTTCTTTAGGTTTTTCTTTAGGGTGATGCTTAATTTGTGCAGTAGATCCAGTACTGATAGCTGGTTGTGTATCCGTTTTTGGCACATTACTTTTCATGTCATGTCCATCTTTACTATCCTCAGAAAGCTACATAAGATTAAATTCTTAGTATTGATATAGTGAAATTACATTTTTATATTATATCCAATTTTTGAAGAGTTATTAATAAAGACATATTAATATTTATTTCATTTATAAAGAAGGTTCATTAACATAATTTTATCTCTTGGCAGAAAGACACATGCCAAGTAAACACAATTAAAAAAACTTATTTTAAGCAGAGTAAGTTTTGTGTAATAAATTACATATTAGCACATATACGTTATAATTTATAATAAAAAACCATTGGACATTTCTTTATTATCAATATTAAAATTAAAAAACCATAGTTTACCTTGAATTTATTATGAAAATTCTTCAAATCCTCACTTTTGTCATCCCGAGCTGAAAAATTTTTTAAAACATGAAATTTAAAAAAATTATATAAAATAATAAATAGCATAATTTTAACATTTGGGAAGAAAGTACAAAAAGAAATAGGGGGAACAAGTTACCACAGGATAACAAAACAGACATAAGAAAATATAAATCATTCTTACTCTGACAGTAACTGTACAGATATTTATAGAATAACCTACAATTTGTTTCTATTTAAATTATTAATTTTCTAATACAAAGATCACAGAGATTAAATGGTCAAACAATCAAAATATTGAACAAGTAACTACATAGAGATACCTTCCTAACAATACACTGAATCTTCCAACAAAATTATCTTGATAATCATTTAGCCAGATGCTGGAAAGCTGCAAAAATAACTGCAAGTCACACTAAACAACTCACCCTAATATAGTACAAAGTCTTTAATCCAGGCATCCATAATTTGGAATGATCTATAATTCGAACCTCAAAGCTACAAACTTTCTCCATGCGCATGTGCGTTTAATGTATAACGGACGGTATAAGCTAGGCTAAAATTATCTAATTATCCATTTCAGTTAATGTTGCAGATTGTGTTGTTACTTAATCTTCTAATTGGATCAGGCTTATTATTTTTTGCAGACTGTTAGAGCAATTTTATAAAAAGCAAGCTTGAACTTTCAATTGTGTCAAAAAGAGTTTCCGATTCTGGAGCTGCCAAAGGATCTACAAAGTGGAAGCATGTTTCAATGTACCGCTTCTGATAGTGAAAAAATTGACAGAGAGGTTATTGAAAATGAAAAAATTTCAATTGACAAGTTAGTTGGTATTCTCGACACAGCAATTACAGGACTTGAAGAGTGGAACTGAACAAGAAATTATTAGCACAAAAAGTGAAGCAACTTAAACAACTTACATTGAAAGAAATGTTTAATAAAGTAAACAAATAAATATTATGCCTTTTAATTTTGATACCCTTTAGATCATAATTGCTCTTTATTTTCATAATTACGGTTCATGTTTTTTAATTTTATAATTTCTGATGATCTTACCAGATTCAAATTGATGATCTACAATCCGGAAAAAACCCTAATCCAGAATCGCCAAAGTCCTGAAGAGTCCGAATTAAAGACTGTATTAATCTTTGATGGCCTATAAGCGACTAGCATTTGCTTACACAGTATTAGTTACACCAATTTCCAAACTAATTATCTGGCAGGTATCTTTTAAGAAGCTTCATATTGGCTGCCCTAAAAAACCTCCAGTTCTTGCCATTTCAGAGACAAAAAAAAAAAAAAAAAAAAAAAAAGTTATCTGTTCAATGCTAACAGCAAATCCACACTTACTGAAATTGTATTATATGCTCATTTTTGATGACTAATTTTGAACTTACTTTTGAAAAATCAGTGCAGTCCTACTTTTCACTTTTAATTCAGATACTGTTATTGTGCTCTGGGTGTAATCAGTCAACACCCCCCCCCACCAAAAAGCAAGACTTATTTATATTTAAACTTTACAAATTTAAGCTGGATTATTATGAGAAATATTGGCATAAAAAATTACCAGGTGCTTAATAAATAAAATATAAAGCAATTTTTTTTACGATTCCTTAAAATTAATATGTAGAGTATCCACCACTTTTTAATCTCACTTATCAATAAAATCAGCCACTTATGTTCAAAGTTCCACAAAATCAAAATTAATACAGTAAAAAGTCGTTAATCCGGACTCGTCCGGACTTCGGCGATTCCGGATTATACATCATCAGCTTAAATCTGGTAAGATGGCATGCAGAAATTACAAAATTGAAAATATGAAACCGTAATTTATGAAATAAAGAACAATTATGATCTAAAGGGTACCAAAATTTACAAAAAGAAAAAGCTTAATATTTATTTTTTTACTTTATAAACATTTCTTTCAATGTAAGTTGTTTAAGTTGCTTCATTTCATGTGATAATACTTTCTCTTTAATTCAATTAAACAGACATAATTTCTTGTTTAGTTACAAAGTTCCGCTGTTCAAGTCCTATAATTGCTGTGTCGAGAATACTGACTAATTTGTCAATCGAAATTTTTTCATTTTCAATAACCTCTGTTACTTTCTTCACTATCGGAAGCGAATTATAATGATTATTAATTAATTTTTAATTACATCAAAGACGGAGTACATCGAGATGAAATACTACATTTAGTAAGGGATTATAAGCCAATTAAAATAAAAACATCTGCCTTGAAGATAAGGATAGTGCTGACAGATCAACTTCCAATTCATTGCACGCCGCGGCGTTCCCCCCGCCGAGCAGCGTGAAATTGATAAACAGATTTCGAAACATACTTTCGCTTTAGATACTTTACATATTAGCAAATATATATCGGAAATTCTATTTGATATAATGGAAAGTTCAAGCTTACTTTTATAAAATTGCTCTAACAGTCTGCAAAAAATTATAAGCCGGATCCAATTCGAAGATTAAGGAACAACGCAAACTGCAACATTAACTGAATTAGGTAATTTTATCTTAGCTTATACCGTCCGTTATACATTAAATGCGCATGCGTAAACGTTTTATGTGCACACGCACATTCGCAGCCGTAAAGGTCTTACGCGCACACGTTAACGCATGCGCCACGTTGATGCATGCGCAGAAAAATTGTAGCTTTGAGATCCGGATTATAGATCATTCTGGATTATGGGTGTCCAAATTAACGACTTTTGACTGTACATATTAATGAATTGAAAACCCACCATTTCAACACAAATCCAGCATTTATAAGACACAAAGCCATCCAGACGATATAGTGGTTTGGGGAGCCTAGTGCAGTACTGAAGTTCCGGGTTCGAATCCCGGAGAAGGCATAGATGTTTGTAAATGTGTTGTAGTAAGTCCTTTCAAGAGGTTGATGGTAGAGGAAGACGGGGGAGATCCTCGGATACATCCACTCCAGGGTGTTCTCCATCAAAATTCGGGACGAAAATTAACAAAGATGTACTGTTACCTGTATGGTGCTCATGGCTTTTCCCAACAACAGGTGCAATCTTGCACCCTTGCCATGATGAATTTCATAGGTTTGTTACTCAGACAAGTGAGATAAGTCACAACACACACAGACTAACAGAAAACTAATTCTTCAATGACAGAATATCTTTCATCTGCCTTTCAAAGCTGTTGGTAGAAGTATGCTGTGCTTCATTAAAATAAGTTGACAGAAATTACTCCTCAGTTCCTGTATGCCGAAGATACTGCTTTTAGAGCTTTTTGTTTGCATTGAAGCTCAGATGGCTAGAATTTTCCTCATCTTAAAGTAATAAAAACAACACTTTAGGGGCACTGTAAATGAATGAGCATTCCTTCTCAAATACAAACTGATTAGAAATGCAATTTCTTCATACAATCTTTTAAAGTTTACAAATTTAAAATCTTCATTTTGGGATTCACGTATCATATTCACAGAAAATTCTCAAAAAGTTTATGCAATTTACTTTAAAAACTCTCTTTTCACTTTAAAAGCAGTGGAATTAATCAGAATGCTAGAACTGAATTTTTTACGAACTGAAAAATCAAAGGCTAGAAAGAGAGAAATTAAACATTGTTCATCAGACACTGTGCGGTGAAAAAGAAAAGGCAAATCATCATATGGGTAATATCTAGATAAAAAATATATTACCTGGGCTTCTAAATGAATATCAGCCACACAAAATCGTAATACAGACTAAAGTGGCCTGCATTACATTATCAAGAAAAGCTGCCCAGATGAGATAGTGGTTAGGGAAGCCTGACTATGATACCGAAGAGCCCGGGTTCGAATCCCGGAGAAGGCATGGATGTAGTTGTCTGTATTTCATACGAGGCAAAGTTGACCCACCTATTAGGTGCCTCCATAATAAAGAGACAAGACATCTGGCCTTAGGCAAGTGCCCAACATTGGGGGGGGGGACATTATCAGGACATACACTAACATTTAAAACAACAGCTGACTTTAGAAACTGAAGGAACATGTTACTGTTTTGTTAACATGCAATATGGACCCAATAACAAAGACAGCACTGGTTACTGACAACAGCTGAAAAGCTTGATACTTGAAAGAAGTCAAGATTGGTTAACTTAGCAACAAGAACTCTAGGATGACAAGTACTATTTTTACTAATTTTCTTTTGAAATGAGACAGCAAACTGAAAAATGAAAAAATATCTTTACTAATTTGATAACTATGCACACACATCTCTGATCTCTTTCTGAAAAATGTGCCTTGTAGTGCAAATACAACTTTTAATATTCAGCTTTTAGACCTGAGGATTACAGAAGCTTGCAAATGTTATGTGCAGCCAAGTTTCTGTCAAAAAAAGATAAACATAGCCGAATCTTGTAAAAATACACTCAATTTGAAGTAGAAAAGTAAAAAAGAAATCTGTGGTAGAGACCATGCATCATATAGTCAGTGCTCGAAGTCATTATCTTAAAATGCAGATAAAACTGTTTCCAAAATACTTTTTGAAGAAGACTCAGAGGATGTGCAGGCTTTATGAGATTCATTTTTAGAATATGAATAAACTGACGATAATATAAAGTGTATACAAACTGACTATGATATGATAAAAAGTGTTAAAACAGCTTCAGAAACTGACACTGAAAGTGGTACAGAAAAATGTGAAGGCAAGCCAACATCAATCGAATCTACAAAAATAATACAAAATTCTAAGAAAACTCTTCATCTAAAAGGTTCCTGATCAAGATCTACTAGTAATCTTATGAAATTGAAAACACAACTGAAAAACTGTTTATGATCATTATGAAATAAACATAGACAGAACAACAGTACATTAAAAAGTTAAAAATTTATCAGGTGTGCAATTACAAAAATATTAATTTTTAATTATTATTTTAAGATTAATTACTGGATTTAGTTATTCGTTATTATTTTAGAGAAGTTTAAAACTGATTATTATAACTTGTAATACACAAATCGCTGTCTATTAAACTCAGCCACTTAATTCAAATACATTTGGAACAGAAGTGATTTTA